AGGGGAGGAGGGGGGAGGGGGGGAGGGGAGGAGGGTTTCTTCCAGAAACTGAAACCCACTCTACATATAAGTAACTCAAAACTAAAGCCTATGCAAAATCACACAGGACACATTTTGTCAGAAATTTCCTGATTTTAAATTTACTCAGGGAAAGGTAATGAACATTTCTTTGCTGCTAAACACGTTTTAGTGCTTTTAATGAAATGATAAATATGACACGATTTTGACATTTCTTTGGGATTTATTGTACATCAATATTCATTATTTTGAAAATGAAAATATTTGCAAGCACCGTTTAATTAAGGAACCCACAGATAATCAAAAGCTTCACTGGTTGAAAACAGAAACAGAGAGAAGCTTGAGCCAGAATCTGACTTAGCAGTGTCTTCAGAATGCCAAGGAAATTCATAAGGTATCAAAAACTGGCCATTTATCCATCTGTGAATATGCAATAGACATCTGGCATTATGTCTACAAGCACTTACTTGAATGATAAAGCATAAACCTTTTGTTACTGCTGTAAAAAATAGTCACAAAGATTAGAATGTCATCTTCCTCAGATTTTTGATAGTTGGTGGCATCACCCCACTCTCCGGCTGCCTATGAGTGAAACCTGGACTTTGTTCTCACTTATGAAACAAATCATGTATTTTTTTCCCCCGAGTTAGGTGTGGGTGCTCTGCATTCTGTGGGGTCACTCTGGACTTTTCTCCCTCACTCCAGGGACACCCAGGAGCCTGGGATTCACCCATGTGACCTTTCATTTTGCTTTTAAATAGTGCATCTTCTGAGGTGCCCAGGACACAATCACTGGCCCAGCATCTACCAAAAGTTCTTAAGGATTTAGGGCTCAAAATGTTGGTGCTGGATGGGAGCTTAAGAAACCCCTTGTCTGACTTTTATTTTTAAAAAGGGGGAAACTAAAACATCGTGCTGAGGCATCACATCCCCACTGAAACTGCACAGGAGCCTTGCTCCCTTGTTCTGAGTCCCCTGCCCGATGACCACACACACAACCATCTCATGAGTTAGCATGAACTAGTTAGAGAGGAATAGAGGCTTAAAAGCCTTTAAATAGTTTAGAGAACATTGCTTTCAACAAGGATTGCTAATTTATAATCATATAAGGTAAGGCCTTGGGAGATTCAAGCTTTTAGCTCCGTCATTGAAGGGAGCTATAGGCAGATGATTAGCTTTAAAAATTTTACAATGTAATTTTCTCTTAAATAGCCACACTAACCAGTGATCAGTATAACTGGGAGTCAACCTTTCATTGGGAAGAGTTATGATGAAGACCGTGACTGAAGTGCATACCAGAATAGCCTTCCTATCGGACTTGGAAAATGACAACCAACCAGGGAACCTGCAGCACCGCTGGGTGCCAACACCTGGTGGGCTCACCTGTAAGCGGACGGCGTGCTCGTGTTTCCTCTTCATGTCGTTGATGTGCCAGGCTACTCGCTGCATCGTGTCTATGGCATCGAGCACCACATCATAGCCTTCTGTGTCCTTGTCAAGGTGGTTTTCTATTTCCTTAAAAAAGGAAAAGAACTAGTTATTTTCCATTTTTTCTCATATAGCCAATGAAACAAATGGCACTTCTATAATTAGTTCCTTGTATTTTATTCTTGCTCATAGATTTACACACTATCATCATTTCTTAAGATTGTGACGTAACTTACCAGAAATTCCTGCAACAGAATGGTAAGATAGGAATAAAAACAAGGCTAGGAAAAATAAAAGTAGATCAGAATTCTAGGACAAAGAAGATAAAATAAAACATGAATGCAGGCTATTAAGTCTCACAGTGATATTATAGTTATTATAATAGATATGAGAGTTGGCCTTATAGCTATAAAGTTCTGAGCTTCCTGGTGGCCACTGTGATATGAGGGTACATCAAAAAGTTTGTGGAAAAATAGAATTAACAGAAGATATGAATCTTTCCATGAACTTTTTCAAGTACCCCTCATATAGATCTCAGTAATACAGTTCTCACTCATAAGATAAAAAACACACTTATTTTTTCTCCCGGAGGAAGCAAAATGTCTCACACAGGACTTAACACATAACAGCTTCAAAAACATAGTGGACATTATCTTTAAAGAAAAATAACAAATGCATTTTTATGTCACCAGGGTTTTAAAGTCCAAATGAAGTTCATTAAAAACAGTCCTTTCAGAGTGTTGAGAGAGGTCACCTGGTTTGAGTATTCAATTCTCCGCTGTTCAGAAGTATGTTTACATCAGCGCTCATCTTACCACCGGAGTTCCACGGTCCCAGGGAGATGAGGAGGGACACGATCTGTTCTAATTTTTCAAGCACATAAGAAAACCTGTCCCTGGACTCCTTGAGCCTAAGGATAGAGACTACTGCCGTTCCTTTGCTCTTTATCTTCCCCATAGAGCCTGGCAGAGAGCTTGCCGGTCAATAAATGCTTATTACATTGAAGCTATATCTTATTAAGAATAATAACAATAATCCTATTTATGTATCTAAAACAGTAAGAAAATATTACAGTCCATTCGATAATTTTTCTTTTTTTTTTTTTTCCTTTTTGTCTTTTTTACTGGCCAGTAACGGGATCGCAACCCTCGGTGTTGCGCCCGTACCGGGGACCAGCAACGGGATCGCAACCCTCAGTGTTGCGCCCGCGCCACGCTCAGCCAGTGAGCGGGAACCGGTCACCACATGGGATCCGAACCCTTGGCGGAAGCGTCGCCGCGCTCCCAAGCAACGCACTCTCCAGTGCGCCACCAGGCCGGCCCCCACTCGATAATTTCTATGACATTTAGCATGCATAATCAGTTAGCTAACGGGCAGAGATTGAATCTTATGGTATAATTTATGAAGATTAGTTCCATTATTTTATAGTAATACTTCATAAATCTTTGTTTACTTTTATTGAGTACTCAAGTTTTTCATCTAGCTGGAAACTGGAAAGGAATTTACATTTTCTTTCCATATTCCAACTTAGCTGTTAAAAAAGGACCCACGAAACTATACCACTAAACTAACGTCTCCGAGCTAAGTTCAACATGGATGGCAAATTTTGTTTGGTGGCTTGCTGGGATGGGGATCTGGCCAGTGGCAAATTCAAAATTTTTTCTCCTTTTAGTCTGAGAGGCCATTCTGTTCATCAATAAACAGGCTCAAAAGTACAGAGGATATTCCTGTGGGGATTTCCATGGATGGCTCTACAACTTTGAAATGATGCGAATGACAGAGAAGGAACACTTGAAACCAACTATAAAAGCAAAAACACTTCAAAGGCAACCAGAAGTTAGTTTTGGATTAATCCAACCACTGTTCTTCCCTTTTTTTCTTCATTGCCAGCTCTAGTGGCTGTTTCTTGTATATTAACTTTTTGTAAGCGTCTTGACTTGTTATCTGACACGCTTACCTAGCTGAGATCTTAGACTTTTCTTTTGACCGATGCCCACCTTACTGCCTAGAAAACTGTAATTATGGATTATTGGGACACAGTAGTCTAAGATGCTGTATTAACAGAGTTCAGCAGAGATATGTCCTGGGACAGATATTATTTATTTAAGAATTATTTGGACACTAATTAAGCAAATTAATCCCACTAAATCTAAGAGGTCATTAAGTTCAATTTGAAAAGTAAAGTAATATCCCTGATGTAGCTTCATAGGATACAAGATACTCCAGAGATGAGCCACTGAGGCAATCGAGTGAAGCTAAGAAATTCTTGTAAAGTTGGACTGTAAAAGCTCTTAAAATTTTACATGTGTATGAACTGAGCAAATCTGGAATAATTATCCAAGTTAGAAATCTGGAATCATTTAAAGCAAGATGCCTATAAACTGCAGGCATGCTGACATAGAGAGGAGCTCTGGATTAAAATCCCTTTAAGAAAGGATTTTTAACGTAATATAAAAATAATAAAAACAATAGCTTATTTTTCTTGAGGGCCTGTGAGCTACAGTGAATGTGGGTAATTTATAGGACTTGGACCCAGGAGTCTCATCCCACAGCCCTCTCCCTAACCACTGTACCATGCTGTCTTTCTCCTCTCGCAAAGATAAGCAAAATCTACTTACAGAATGAAAATTACTTTCAATACCACTTTTTTTCCCCCCATTTTTATCAACTTTCTTAGAGGATAAGAAATGAGAATTTGAGAGCTACATCTGTCTTTGTTTCTAAAGCCTCCTTGAATTTTGTCAAAGTAAGGAAAATAATACAAAGAGAAGGCATCCCTGAGCGGTGCAAAGCCCAGCCACCAGATCACTCACCGTTCTGCTCATCTGTCCTCTCCCTGTTCAGCCCCTTCTCTTTGCTCACATACAAAAGCCAATCTGTGACAAATAGTTTTCCCTCCCAGGTGCCTAATTGAATCAGGGCTCGTGGAAATAAAACGTAAAAAAAAAAAAAAAAAACTTTTTCATTTAGATGATAGCTCCCTGCCTGAAACTGTCACTGCCCAGCGTGAGTACTCCTGAGCTGTATCAGAATCAGAGCTAAAATTAATCTTTTACTTGGCCGTTGTCAATGGGGCTGCAGGCCTAGAATATAAATATCTCTAATTCCTCAAAGCAGATTAGTCAGTTGTAAAGTATGAGCGTGGAAAATGTTTCCATATGTCCACAGCCTTTTCTGGTATTTTCCCCAAACTTAATATATACACACAAAATCCCCATCCCCTGGAAAGTGCTCAAGCCAAGCAGAAACTTACATGTAAAAGGAGATGATACTTGAGAATCCGCTGAACTGGTTTCAAGAGATAGGACCCCAGAGGCAGTGAGTGTTTCAGAGTTTCCTGACGTTCCCTGAAGAACTTGGCCAGCATCTTGTTCCTCATGCACTCTGTTAGCACAGCCACAGATCTGCATGAAAAGCAAAAAAATTTGATCTAAATTGTAACGCTGTACATGGGTATTCAAGTTTTAAATGCCAGCGTAAGTGTAAATGCCCTGAAATGGGTAGCGCAGCTACAGAGCTATAGCCAGACTCAAATGCTTCTGGATAAATTAGAAAAGGTTTTCCTCCGGGTGGGTGAATTAGAAAAAGGCACTGTAGGCAGTGATAGTAATGTCAGGGGCTCATGGCTACTAGCAAGCAAGTTCCTTCCTTCTAGGAGATGCAGCCTCACACCAGGGCACATGGCTTGGCAAAAGGGATTTCAGTTGGATTTTAGCTCCCCCTCACCACCACTTGTGCTGATCTGGGTGTCTCTGCAGGGCTTACACTACACATGAATACAACTGTATTCAGTTTCCACAGGTTTGATTATAAGGAGTATGCACCCTTTACTTAGAAAAATTAGTTCCTTCTTGCCAGTAGATCCAGCTCCCTGCCAGGGTATTTGTCACCCCTCTGATGGTCACTTTTGTATAACGCACAAACTGCAAGGCCTTAGGTGGTGGCCCTCCTTACAAACCTCTTCCCGTGGCTAACTCCCCTTTGAGAATCTCTGAACAGATCCCCCTTTCTACCTCCCCGTGGTTCTCTCCTTATTCTAACTACAGCTTCTGAGAAAGCTAGATAGCCCCCCTCGTTATGGAGTATGCCTCACTGCAGGGTACTAGAAAAGTGGGTTAGAATCCTTCTCAAGTCCATCTCCCGCAAAGATAATAAGCATAGCCTCAAAACATCTTCAAGGAACAGTTGAAACAATGCTTGTGTCTTATACATAAAGCAAGCTAACAGGCTTGTGCAGTCACACGCACAAGTAAATTAAAATGTTATGGTCTCCAAACTAAGAAGGAAGCCAGAAATAGAAATAATTTCAGCCCTTTTCTCCCCAAGTCAGTAATATGTTTTCAGCATTAATCAAGAAAATCAGATAGAGCCAAACAACAAAATAAGACCCTGTGGAAGGAAGGTAAGTGGAGGTCTCACAATTAAACCATTAGAGTCCTTTTTGTGCCCATCTGCCTTGAGAAATATGTTTAAACTGATTTATTTCCTCCTTGACTTGGGATATCAAAATTACCATTTATCATATAACCTGCAAACTTTTCTAGGGTTCTTCCAAGTCAGAATCAGCTGCCCAGTGGACCTTTGTCCATCTGAAGGCCTGAGCTCTTGCTCAAGAATAAAAACCTGCAATGCATTTGGAGTGCACTGAGCTCTAGGTTCCCAGAGGTCTCAGGCAGGCATCTGAGGACAACGCCCTGACCGCGTTTGTACCCTCCCTGGGGGACAGAGGGAGGGGCTTGTGGCTCTTCACAGTGAAATCACTGGGGCGTGACTGGTATGAGGAAAGGAGACACCTGTCAAGGTGTGTGGCAACATTTAATACCACCAGCCTGGACCCAAAGGAGGAAAAAAAGTTGTCAGATGGGCTGAGACACCTGGCACTCCTGGCTTGTTAAGACGGCACAAGGTACCTTGGCCTCAGAGAGCAAAGCAACTGGGGACATGGGGACAAGAGAACACCTTTGTCTGAGAATATGAAAACCACACAATTGGGCAAGAACCGGACGGGCCTTCTTCCCTGAGACCTTTCGAGCATGTCTCTGCTAACATGCGTTTCTTCAAACTCAGGCTTGAAACAAACAAACAAACAAATGAACAAAACCCACTTCTTCCGGGAACCTGTCTTTAAATATTGGGCAAGAACCGGACGGGCCTTCTTCCCTGAGACCTTTCGAGCATGTCTCTGCTAACATTCGTTTCTTCAAACTCAGGCTTGAAACAAACAAACAAACAAATGAACAAAACCCACTTCTTCCGGGAACCTGTCTTTAAATCTCACTGGGACTTATCACTCCTTACCTCACGTTTCCTTTAGGTTCTACTACACTTTACTGAGTTGGTCCTGTATTCATTTATATTTATTTATTGATCTTCCCTAACGTGCTATTCCACTATTGCATGTAGCTGAGTTCTGATCCTCAAGAGAATATAAACTACATGAAGGCAAGGATATTGTTTCTGTTGCCCGCCGATCCTTGGGTGCACCAAGCTTGGAACAGCACTCCATGAGCGACAGGCTCTTAAAAATATTCTTGCACAAGTGATTTTGCCTTTCATATAACTTTGCAAAGCCTGGCATATAAAGGGCTGCCTTTATTTTGTACTCTCTTTTCTTAGTAAGTCAGAAAATCTTCTGAATTTGCAGTCTTGGGAGTTTACTAATAAGCTATTTCTTCAAACAACATTTATAATGAAATTAACACAGACATAATCTCCCAAACAAGCCCCTCTAGAGTCGAAGATCCTGATCCTTGGGTCCACAGCTCTGATGAGTCTTCAGAGTCTGAATGCATTTTCCCTCCCTCAGGAAGTTTTGTGGAGAAGTTGAGGGTTGATTCTGTGATTTCTCTGAATTAGGGTGTGGTGCGGCTGGTCTCTGGCGTAAAGGCCATGAGGCATCCTACAATTTCCTGGTATCTTCAGCATGGAGGTACTTTAGGAGAGAAAATTGCCTAAGAGAAACTGTAAACTGTGGGTGGGTCTACAGATAAGGATGTGATAAATTTTCTAATATAATATGTATGTAGGTTTTGTTTGTTTGTTTAGGGAAACCTGGGAAAAGCATGGTTGGCCAAATAAATCATCATGGCACAACACCCTGACCAATATCTCGAGGAGGACACTAAAATCCTCCAATGGAAAGTTGATTTTGTCATCAGTAAGCTGGAGTCTCTGGCTCCATGGGCCTTTTAATCCAAATCAGCCAATTTCTGGGGCTACTCCTGAGCAGGAGAGAGTGGGGTACCAATTTGTTCCGTCTTCCCACAGTGGCGTTCAGGACTCATCTGCTGGCTTCTCTTCTAGGTGGATCCTGCCACTTTATCCTAAGGGACTTGTCTCTACCAAGACTGGATACAGAGTGTATAAAATCTCCCTAGCTCTTATCTTTCTGGCTGGTCCCTAAAATAATTCAAGTCCTGCTAATCATGTGGGAGAAAAAAACAAGGCATGGGGGGAAATCACAAAGCTTCAGAAACTTTACAAAGATACAGTAGCATGAGATCCTAGGCTGGGGAAACAAATCCCAGCAGGCCATTCAACAGCTCCGTGACTCCTGTAGAGTCAATTAAGCTGTTGGAACCGCAGTTACTTTATCCATAAAATGGGGCTAGAACAGGGGTGATGATGAGCCAGCACCTGTTGAGAACCTGTTAGGTGCCAGGCACTGGGATGGGTGTTCTGCTTTTCTTTAATCCCTCCATATCTGTGGATTGCTACAGAGGTTAAATTTAACATTTTGTATTTACAACACTTAACACAGTGCTTAGAAATTAATAAGTGCCCAATAAATGTCTCTTGGAGAAAAAAAGATTCCTGAAGTCGTGGCCCATATATTAGGCCCAATTTCCTTAAAGAAACGGTCAATATATTGTCCGTGGTGCCCCCTGCACAGCCCTGCTGCCATCGCTGTCCAGTGTAAGCAAAACTGGAGCAATGCATGACCCAGGTGACACGGTGAGTCCCCCTTCTCATCCAATCTTACCACGATCTCCTTTCTCTGAACTCCATAAAACTTATGTGCTTTGTAAAACTTACAGCAAAAATACATCACATTTTCTCCCCAGTTAGATTACATAAACTCATTAGCAGTGCATCCCGAATTCTTAAAAACTTGGTTACCAGACAAGGCTTTACAGCCTGATACAACTAGCTCTCTTAGTTTTCCTTTGGACGTACCTAGTAATCTTTCTGGTCTCTTTCAAAGTCTTTCACAATCTTTCCTTACACTGGCTCTGCTGGGAGCCCCAAAGCCCAAAGGGATCAATATCTAGGTACCCTGTAATTTGTTCTTGGCATGTTTTGCATTTTTCTTGTAGTGTTTAGCACAGTGCTGGGCGTGTAACACCTAACAACCGCATCCTTGGACCGACTGACTTGAAACAACATGGAAATGAGCGAAAGTACTCCTGCTGCTCACCCCCAATCCATACCTCGGATAGTTAGTGCAATACTGGGTATAAATGTGGAAATCTTCACTCTGCAAGGAAACAAAAGAGACTTTCTTAATTGGCCACAATAATCAATCACATTGTATATTGACAAAATAAAATTTAATTAAATTAAAAATAAAAGAGACTTTCTTAGGCAAAAAAGCACAGACATCAACATTCACTTGAAAACAATAAAAAGAAATAGCATTCAGGCCTTTGAATTTGTTTCTCTAATCACGCTGGCCTGTCTCCTGAGCTCCTGTGGCAATCATCCGTGCTTATTTTTCTGCCTGGTTTTCTGCCTGTGGATTTCAAAAATCCACATAACTGGAAGTCATCTGAGTCCAGGAAACATTTATGGAGCATCTGCTGTGTTACAGTGAATCTAAAGACAAATGGGAAGAGGATGAAAATAAAGTTTCTGCCCCAAGGTGCTTATAGCCCTCTGGTGGATACACAGCATGGGAGAGAAATATAAGTAATTTAAATATCACGTGGTAGGAATGTGCTGGAAGGAGGTGCAGGGCATGAGAAAGCTGCTGTGCGCTTTCAAGTCCTGACATATGCAGCTTTATCTGCCCACTGCTTTTCCACATTTTTTCACTAGATAGCCACTATGCACCCTTTGAGATTGAATCAGGAGCTATATTTCTTCCAAGGAACTTTCCTTAAGGTCTTGGGCTGAGCCAGCTGCTCCTACTCTGGGCTTCCACAACACCCAATACTTGCCTCTCTTGTGGCATTTACTAAATGATGGTGCCATTTCCTGTTTATCTGTCTCCCACACTAAGCTGTGAGTTCCTCCAGGGTGGGGGCCACATTGTGTTCGTCTGGCACATAATGTTTGTTGAACTACTGAATCCCCCTCTCTCCTGTTTAACTGAAGAATTTTTGAGAGCAGGATCCGAGTCTACTCATCTGCATGTATCTAGCAAGCAGCAATGCCTCAAATGCAATAAACGTTTGACTAACAAAGGTGGGGTCTTGCCTTTCGCTATGATCATGTTCCTAGTTCTCTAAAATCTCTTCTTTCCATAGCTACCTCAATCTTTCGGGTGCCTAGTCATATAATTAAATATTGGGAAATGCTAAATTAATACTTGCTCATTAAAGGATCATTTTTTAAAAAGGCAGACTAAAAGTGCAAATATAAAATGAACGCTATCGAAGATTATTTAACCTATTAATTGAGGAAAGCAGTAAGATATTACAACTGGATCAAAGGAGAAATAAAAGTCTCATGCTTAGGTCAATGAAGAACGCGGAAATGAATTTACGATTAGGTACAAAACAGGCTTTTTATATGTGGATGGGTGGCTAAAGAAATGAATTGTCACTCTATGGGACAGAATTCATTTGCATGTCTGTGTTTCAGAATCATTTATGTTGCTATCAGTTATCTAAAATTTAAAGAGCTGTAAAATAGTTCAAAGTCCAGAAAAGATACAGAGAACCCACTGAGTTGTGTAACTTGGAAGGGTAAACTGGAAAACACTTTATGTTCTATTGGAGACACCCAGTAATCTTTCTGGTGGATTTCAGAGTCTTTCACAATTATTCCCTACACAGCCAGGGAAAAGAGGTCTGTAGATGGTAGGTGACATGGCAGAAGCCAAGTTTTTTAACTTTTGACCCTGAGACCATCAGTCAGAATAAATAATTTAAGGCCAATGAATAACTAGCTTCTGCAAAATCTTAAATGGAATTACTTTTTGAAAAAGAGCCACAGACTATTTTTGGTGGAGTTTCACATTCTGCTCTTCTCTGATTTTTCATTTTCTTTTACCATCTTAAACCACTACTTCATGCTGGATTCACAGGTGACTCCAAGTGCCTGTTTTTCGGTTAACTTTAATGCTTTTTATTTTATTTTTTTCTGATTCAGAAGGAATGTCTGCTTAGAATCCTTCCCGTTAAACATTTCTTATTTTTTAATGGAAAGTTTCAGGCATTTGTATAATGAATCCCTAAGTATCCCCATCATCCAATCTCAATCAATAATCATTAGCTCATTGTCCACATCTCACCTACGCCCCTGCTGCTCCATCACTGAAGAAAATTCTAGAAATCACATCATTTCTTGTATATAACTTGTAAGTGTTTTAGTATAGATCTCTAAAATAAGGACTTTAAACAAGCAGCAGCACCGCAATACCATTATTACACATAAGTAATTCCATAATGTCATGAAGGTTCACCAATTGCTCTTCATGTTTCCTTTTTTCTTAATTTTCTTTCCTTCCCCCCACCCCCCATAGGTTGCCTGTTTGATTTGGAATCCAAATAAAGCAACTTGTTCATATCTCTTTAGTTTTTTTCACTCTTTAAGTTCCCCACTATGTTTTTTCCCCTTTGCAGGTTAGTTGTTGAAGAATCCGGACTGTCCTACAGTTACCATCTCGGCATTACTGATGGCCTATGGTTTCCTTTAATGTACTCTGTCCACTGTACTACTGGTGGTTTGGTAGAGGCTTGCCTGGTTTTAGATTTCATAATTTGGCACAAATACTTGATAGGTTGTACTGTACTTCCACCAGGAGGCATGTACTCTCTGGTTGTCCCTCGTTTTTGTGATGCTAACAACCCCTGGTATTATTGCCTAGATCTATTCATTAGGGGTTGCAAAATGATAATATTTCTATTTCTATTAGTCCATCATTTTTTAGCCAGAATCTTTCCAAAAAAGGAACTTCATTATATTTATGGGTTACTCTGCAGTTTGTGGTTTGTATGGGAAAGGCAGGATAAAATACTTGATTATTTTCCTTGATTTTCAAAATAATGCATTGATTCTCTAGCATCCTGCATAACTGACCAGTTTGTTTTTTTTTTTTTTTTCTTTTGGCAGCTGACTGGTATGAGGATCCAAACCCTTGACCTTGGGTTACAAGGTTGCACTCTAACCGATCGAGCTAACCAGCCAGCCTGGTTTTTTTAATATCACTGTAAATTCATAAATGTAAACATATATAATGAGTTTCAATTGTTTTCAGTTAATTATCCTTACTGATACTCAAATTATACAAAAACAGATACTTCCTTCTAGTTATTCATCTCTTTCAAATTATAATTAGAGATGATGTAGAAATGAGACAATTGTGAAAGAGCCAAAATATAAGATAGTCAGAGCTGAGCAAGTGAGTACACAGGACATGCAGATATTTATTGAATGTATGACTTTAGGGTTTCTTTTGCCACAAGGTATCCCTCTACCTCTGATTCCTATGAAGTTTTTATCCGACACTGTATTAGTCCATTTCTGTTCCTTGTAACAAAATACTTGACACTGGATGATTTATAAACAAAACGAAATTTACTGCTTACAGTTTCTGAGGCTGGGAAGTCCAAAGTCCATCTGGTGGTGGTGGTGACAGTGACCCAGGGGCCTCACATTGCAAGACGGTGGAAGCAGAGAGAGCAGGGAGAGAGTAACCTCCTCATTCACGCTCTTTTTAAAGCCTTCAGAACCACGCCCCTGACCTCCATTATTAATCCATCACTAGTCACCATCCTACATCCAATCACCTCTTCAAGGCCCCACCTTTCAATTACCATAATAGGATTCCTCACCCTCTTAACAGTCACAGTGGGGGCCACGTTTCTAATATATAATACTTGGTGGACACAATTCAAGCTTCAGGGAGTTTTGGGGGAGACATAATTCAATCCACTACAGACACTTTGAGAAAGGCTTCATATGAAAATAGCATATGGGTAAGGGGACATTGACTTGAATTCTCTCTAGTGACATGAAAATCCAAGG